TCTGTTATATACAGTAGAGCAAACAAAGAGCAAACCCCACTCCATTCTAGCACTGAAGATGTTACCTAGCCAGCTAACAAAACATTTGCAAGAAAACAACCAAGCTCAGAGAACCCCAAGGACTCCACACTTCACCCTGGACTACATATATTCCCTTCTATTGGTATTGTTTATTCTTAGTTTTAAAAAATCAATACTGATATACAATTAGTACATTTATGAATTATTGTGGCACTAACATATTACTTATATGGAAAATTATACTGGTTTAACAGCCAAATCCAATTATAATATTTTAGTAAAACAATATACCTTGCCTGTGAATTCCTTTCTTGGCTCTCACCAGATTTTCTGTCCTTCCAGTACTTGTATGACTTCTTAACCTTATCAATTTGCCTTCTATGCAATGGGTTTAAAAAAAAAAAAAAAAAACTTGTGCAAAATAATGAATGTGTGTTTTGGAGCTCAGACCACATCTTGTCTTAATGTTCTTGGTTATTACTTTTCCTTTGCCTTCTATGAAATGGCTGCTCAGTGACTTTCCTTGCCCATTATGTTCATTATTTTGTTAATATGAACAACGTAGTAATCATTCTCCCAACCATGGCAACTCTTCAGTAAAACATTCAGTGATGCATATCGGCACAAAACCCTTAAACCACATCTATACTTTAGTAGTATCTGAGCTGTCAGTGACTAACAATCTTGGTCTTATGATAGACAGCTTAATGTCTATCAAGTGTGCAGCTATACTAAAAAATAGTTGATTCCATGCTTTGAACTCTCAGGAAAGGAACTGAAAACAGAACTGCTGATATAATAATGCAATTATAAAAATCTATTATGGGATTTAGCCAAAAAGGAGTAATCTCTTCTGATTTACTATATAAGTAGTAAGAACTTTGAGACAGATTTGACTCCTCGTAACTTCATACATTTATGCAATTATAGGGAGTTCTTCAGGGTTTTTTTAAAATTATTATTATTTTACTTCCCATCTAGGCTACAGCCCTGGAAAACCAAGAATAAATCAGGGCTGACCCTGTTTAGCTTTCTAGATCAACTAAAGTCAGCTAGGTAGCATTTCATATATCTCTGTAAATAAAGAACAATGTGAAAAGTGACTACATTTTGTCCTGGTGATTTACTAAGGGCTGATAGTCCCAGGACTGTAGTGGCCAGAACAATCATAATGATAATACACTATAACAATATTGTAATCTTTCTTAAAATGTTAACAGGTGCTGTTCACTGGAAGAATGCCCTTAATTATTTCTACCCTTTTTCCATCAGATCATTTGTGATCAGTAAGAGAAATACATTGTACATAAGAAGAAAGACACTGTACATAATATCAGAAATCACATCAAAATATTCCGGTAAGAAGTAAATAAACCACATATGGCTCTGTATTTCTGCAATAGGCTATAATAATGATGATATATTGAAATGTGCAATAAGGAGATCATACCTTTATCTATGCCAGCAACAACATTTCATTTGACTTCACAAGAGCAACCTGCTTTTGACAAGCAATTATCTTGCCTACCTAATAAGGCTGGAAATAATAACAGCACATTTTAAAAAACAGAATATAGCAATAATGCAGCACTATGAAGTTTTAATTAGCACCAATTCAGATAATGGCAAACCCTTTTTGTTTCATTTAGATACAGTGAGAGATTATAGGGAGGTTGAAAAAGGAATGGAAGGGAGAGTAAATATAATCAAGAAACAGAAGAGGAGTCAATTGCAATCTTATAAATGGCAACTTAGCCCAATCTGGGAAGAAACGTTTTAAGCCTCCACCTTAATGAATTCACTATAAATAAGGTGGGAAATTCTTCACTTTTCCAAAATTCTGTATTTATCCCAGATAAACATGGAAGATACCTAACCGAAATCTCTGTAGTTCTTGCTTCCTTAAACTTGGCCAGCTGTGTCAGTCTTGATAGATAGCTATCAAGGAAGGAATCCATTTTACCATTACTAATGGAATTTATTCTACATATACTGTCCAAGTTTAATTCTATTTCTTCATATGATTACATTACAGAAAGGAAAAACTGTAATGTCACTGAAAAATAACAACCCTTAAATTTCTCTGAATCAATTTAAATGGAAAGATAACAAAATTTTATGCTTAGTACTATAATATCATATTATAGGATGTTTTTTCTTTTGTGAAAATTGACACAAATCTAACAAAGGGATTCAAACACGCATCCTAAGCTTGTTGTTCGCTAGCAGATTTAGAATACTAAATATTAAAAATAAAGTGATAACTTCATAATAACACATGAAGAGTATCATCATTTTCAGCAAGATCCTGAAAAAATCCTGATCCACAATTAATGTTTGATTCCTCCATATTAATTTATGGCAACTGAAACCAGCAGGCTAAGAATGCATTACATCAGCCTTTCCAACATGGCAACTTTTAGACTGCAACTCTTTGAATTCCTAGATTAATCTATCACACACTGATTTGCATAACCATAGCTTCTGGTTTTTAAAGGCAAAGCAGCTTATTAAGGGTATAATTTAACAGAAAGTCTTTTACAAAGCCTTAAGAACCTGGTAGAAGAATGGGCATTTGTGCCATTTCTTATCACTGTATCTATGTCTATGTTGTTGGTTCCCCCCTCCCCCATTGTGTTTTGTCCTTGAAGTGAGTGGTTCAATAAATGGGAATGTATGCGGAGTACTTGAAATTGTATTTTAAGTGATAAAATGTATCAATCAATCTAAGCATTCCAAACCATACTTGCATGTTCTCCACATTAGATAGATAGAAGTGTGTGTGTGTGTGTGTGTGTGTGTGTGATATTAGGCTAGATTAGATTTATATCCTGCCTTTTTCCTGGGAGTGCAAAGTGGCTTACAAGGGAATTTCCCTTTGCTTTATCCCCACAAAAATAACAAAAAAGGCAAAGATATATTAAAAGAATATGATTGCCTCAAAAGTCATCCAGTGAGCTTCCTTGGTCAGTGATGAAGACAGGCTTGAACCTTGGTCTTTGCCATCCTGTTCAAAAGCAATCAGTACATCATGCTGTTTTTCCAGGACAAAGGGCAATCAATGCATCATCTCAAATGACCCTGATAAAAAGAATGTGCAACATCTTCTTGATCATCATTTTTTAAAATTCAAAATTGTTTTTAAGGTTTTTTTTTTTAATCCTTTGTGAAATTCAAGATGTTAAACTGTAATTAAATTTTAAAAAGTAGCACATGACACAATGATGGGGTTGGAAAAGATAGTACAAATCCAGACGATGCTGGATGTTTTAGGATTGTTTTAGGTGTTATGGATGTAAGCTGATTAGAGTCATTATAAATAGGCAGCATACAAATTATTGTAAACAAACATAAATACAATAATTATTTCTTGAGATTTGGAAACTGCATTTTATTAATTCACCCTAAAATTGCAATTTTTTTGAGCCACATCACAATGCTGATTCATATTTATTGGGTAACAAACTACTATTTTAAAATAATAGAATAGTGGAAACTTTTTCACAGGAACTATTCTCAAATTAAGGATCCCCAGTTCTATCCTTGTGCATCTGAATTGTGTTCTAAGTACATAACTTTGAATTTTTCATTCTTAAATTTCATTCTGCTATTCTCATTCCATTCTCTAAAATATCATTTTGAATTTTATTTCTGTCTTCTAGATTATTAGCTTTTATCTGCAAATTTGATATCTTCATTTCATACAAGTCATAGGAAACTGAACTTTGTGACACACCATATAACATCTCTGTCCAGTACAATAAGAAACCACTGACAAGAATTATTTAGAATTTCAAGCCACTTATATAAATCCACTTAAATGTGAGTTGGATGGCATGACAATTAATCAGCTTGTCAATCAGACTATGAGTGTGCACTTTCTCAATTTTTTTTTTCTGAAATAAGGTTACATTATATTTGTAGCATTCCTGCAATCTACCGAAGAAAGGTACTTTATCAAAACATGAATTAAGATTAGTCTAACAAGACCTAGTTTTGATCAATTCTTGTTGACCTCTGGTAAATACTGCATTCTTTTCAAGATTCTTAGACATCAATCACTTTATGTTCTACTCTAGAATCTTTAGAATCTTAGAATTCCTAAGTAATGGTGTCAGGCTGATAGGCATATAATTCCTTATATCCTCCTCCCCACTATCTTTGTTTTTAAGTTGGGAATTTCATTTGACTTAAGTCATCTGACATTTTATTCACTAAGATTTTTTTTTTAAAAAAATAATACCTAATACATTTCACCAAACTTTCAGCAAGTTCCTTCAGTACCCATTGTAACTGAAAATGACCTTTTTGATGCTTTCTACTACTATAATATAATCAGTACAAATTATTATTGTAAAACATCACAAAATCTCTGCCATAGTAGCACATATTGTTGCATCCTTTGATTAGTATAGTATGAAATATTGCCAATGCGCCAACATTCTTGCTTAACAGTAGCAATGATCCTACTGCTGTTACTTCCTTACCTAAAACTTAATAATATCTTTAATATCTACATCAACAACTGATCTTCTTGGGCTTTCCTCCATCTCAGAAAGTAAAACTAAGAAATATGTCAGGAATTTCCTATTAGGTCCATGATTGAGTTTGTCTTCTAACTGAAGGCAGCTTAATTAAAGTCTTTCTGAAAGAACTCACTTTGCCTTTGGAAAGTATCTTTACATTTTCCTCAATTAAGCGGCTACCAGAAAAATTGCTTTTATTTATTTTAGCCATCCCTCTGTTTATTTAACCTAAATGCTTTCAGAAGTATTTCTTTCACTTAGATCTCCAAAAAGCAACAGGTTGCTTCTATTCCCTTTGAACATACTGTGTCTGTAGTTGCTGTAATCCAATCATGGGTATCATCCTATTAGTTATCCATTAAGTCATATTTGCTGTCCTCTATTAAGAGTTCAAGCTCACCTTGTTTATTTTCTATATTTGGAGAATTAGCATATAGACTACAAAGGCAGTGAAGTTTATACAGTAAGTCAATGATCTTTCTAATTTTTCACTGAATGGTTTAATATGGCCCAATACAGCAGATCCCATTGCTTCCTACAGTACACAGATATGACATGTTTACATCAGGGTTTTCATCTCACCCATGGAATTGAATTTAGAGTTCTTCTAAAGAAGCTTGCTATACTTTGGTGAAATGTAACTTTGCCAGTCCTTATGAGGTGTAACCCATCAGGTGCCAGCATTCCAACATTTCAGTAACTCAGAATATTGTCTTGGAAACCTAAACTTTCCCCATCAACACCATTTGCATAGCCAATTATTCACTGGAAAATTATTTCTCTTTTCAGTCCTTTCCATGAACAGAATGATGAATAATAAGATTATTTGTAACTGAGCTTCTTCCTAGATCTTTAAAGTCCATGGTGAAATGTTGCTGGTTTTTAATGGTATAAATAATATCCATACAGATTAGTGGGAATAGATAATTCTCAGTGGACAATAAATCTTGAAAATTATATCATGTCCCTGATTTACGCTCCCAGCAGACTGAAAAAATCACAAATTTATAGCTATAAATGTGGTTATTTTTGTTGCAGTTTGTCACAGCTACCATGACCCTTCTTTTTGGCCTTATCTGCACACCTCTCTTGCTCCAGCACTGAGATGTCCTGTCAACTATTTAGTGAGGACAAATCCTTATAACGGAGCATTCCTCTTGGTGCCCAGCCCTATCATGGGGCAGCCTGAAGCTGGATCAAAGTAATACAGTTTAAAATTCTGTTTTCCATCAGAACACGCAACAAAACCTCCTGTGCAAGTATTCTGATTTGCATGAAGAATGAGTCTGAGTAAGTTGGGGGACTTGCATAACCCAAACTGGCATAATGCAGGAATACCCTCTCCCCCACCTTCCAGTCACTTGGCTCTTTACCTCCATGGCCATTTCTGCTTTGGGTGACAGAGGGAACAGAACCTCTCCAGCATTCAATAACGTGTTCATTTGTTTATGATCAGATAGGAATAATGATAATTCCACACTGTTGTTCTTCTCCTAATAACCTTCACTGCTGCATCCCATGAGCAGCAATTTTCTTCTTCTCTCCAGCAAGCCTTCATGCTTACTGCACAGGAGAAAAACCTAATCAGATAGGATCCTTTCTCCTTCTTCCACCCCACCCCCATACCGCACCTGCCTTTATCTTTGCTTTTTCCTCTGCACAGTAGAACCAAACTTCAGAAACTGCCACCTCATCCTATACACAAATGTGTGTATGCATATATCGAAAAATTATTGTGGTACAGTTCAAAACCAACTGCAAAGTCTAAAATCTCTCAGTTGCCAGGTTTGGGCGGCAAACCCAATTATGATAACACAGTAAGGCAAATTAAACAAGCACAATCAAGCCCAAAATCTATTTTGAAGCCACAAACCAGAGTTAATTGCCCTTCTGAGTGTTAATTACATAGTGGGGGATTAGTTGTAAGGGCCAGAACAGATATTACAGAAACCAGCTGTGGAAATATAATGGAGCCTTTGTGTTTCAGTAATTCCCATTTAGAAATCAGTTATTCTCTGTCCATTAACAAATCAGTTATGCCAGGTATGAATGATTAATCATTCATTGCAAAGCTCATTTTGATAGCCAGTAAGTCATAAGTACAGTTCATCAAGTTACTCAACTATAATTTGAATTGCCCCACAAAGGTAAAGCCTTTATTTCACTTTAGGTTCATGCTGAAAACGTAATATCTCATGACAGTACCACCTCATTACTTACAGCCTCAGGATTGTGTTTTTTAAAATAGTTTTTATTAAAAGATTACACACACACACACACACACACAGAATATATATTTATAATATCAGGGCATCTCATACCTGTTTTGGCATGAGCAATACATCTTCATATAGGTCATATAGTCAGTTGAAGAATTTCAATTTAATTAAATCTGGTGGGGGAAAAAGGTACTGATTCTTTAACTGCAGCTAAAATCCAAGCATTGTGCTTAGAATAGAACATTATACTTTAATTCAAGAAGTAGAAACAAATTTATTCTGTAAATTAACTAGATTACCCTTATCACAGATATATTTGGAAAAAAGGAGCTTTTAAATCTATTTTCTTTTCATGACTATAGTATTCATATGTTCTAATATCTGATGTCTACAATACTCTTCATGAGATTAAAAATGTGGAGAGAAGGAAATACAATCATATTCCCTTTCTTTTTCTTAAGATAGTGTCATGTGAGCTAAAATCAATCTGTTCACTTCCAAAAGTAATTTCATTTGAAAATTGGGAATGCATGAAAACTGAGAAAATAATCATTTAAATTAACCTATTTTCAGTAGTTAATGTTACACAAAATAGCAGTTTTGACTTTTTGAGAGATGGCTGGGGAATTTTATTTCAAGATCCACGTTAATATAGGATGTGTCTGCAATGATTTTATGTAGTAAGAAGGATTCATTTTGAAGGAAAGTAAATCATATAATCAATATGCTATTCATTTCTATTAAATGTATTCCCAGTAAGTCTATTTTTCAGTTAAATTATGTAGACATGCTGTTCTCATTGAATCTCATAATGGAAGACTTATAATCAAAACATGTCTGAAAATGTACAGGTATTTGACAGTCTTTTTACAATGTAGAAATAATGCAATACTTCCCAGCAGTGTGAAAAGGTAGTGCAGTTTGTCTCACATCATTTCACAGCTCTAACACAGCACTTCTAATAGCTAGAACTGGCTTCTGAGCATGTCTTGCTTATGTGTATAAGCCTCTTCTGCCATTTCCATGTGCTGAGCAGAAGCATACAACATGCACAGAAGCCTTTTCTGGCTACTGGAAGTCTCAGATTAAAGCTGTAAAGCAACACATAGTGAAGCATCGTTTTGCCTTTAAAAGGACATTTGTTTGTATGTGCATCACTGGAAAACGGACTGATGGAAATGGTAGGAATTTCTCAACACTGTTGCATCCAGCTTCTTGAGGAGAGGCAGACCTTAAGCATAGACAGAACCATCCCTTCAACTCAAGGATGAAGTCACCACCCCTTGGATCCACCTACACATCACTTCCCAAGAGGCCTTAACCAGGAGGAAGGACAGGGATGAAACATGCAAGTAGCTGTGCTGATCACTCCAATCACCCTATCCATTTCCTCGCAGCCAACAGACACAAACTCTTTTTAAATTTGCTAGACTGTATCTCAACCAAATCAACTGGAACTGCACAGGTGGAGTCCAACTCAAAGTGAATGCAAGTAATTTTATCTGACAAATGCCTCAAATAATCCTCACAGTGGTCCTTTAGATGGTTTTTGGACCCATCCCTCCCTAAGAAGGGCTATCAGACAGTAATCTATGAATGCAATAAGAGTATAGAAATAACTAACTATAACCACTCCACTGCTACTGCACCCTCTTTTAACATTATTAAATCATGGTAAACATTGACTCAATTGAAGAGGTATTTCTTCCTTTATAAAGTAACTAAAGAATGGCTGAGGTTAGCCTGCAACAAACTGAAGCCCAGTATCTAAAATGGGTAGGAATGCTGGAGGCAATACCTGTATAATATGGAAAAGTGTTCTTTGGAAGTAGAGTAGAAAAGCATGTTCTGAGATTGCTGTGATGGTAACTGGGAATAGAAGGCTATGTCATCCATATCTGTCTTCCAGAAACAGATATGTACCTCCTCTAGTGATGATACAACCAGGCAGGACAGATAAGCCCTGAGTCTTTTGAGCTTGGAATTATATGTAATAAATAAATAAAAAAATCATAGAATTATCCCTTTTATTAGGGCTGGAATATGTTCCATAGTTATTCCACAAAGGAAGGATGCCATTTACTCTTTGGTCCAATCGATTTTAATGAGGTCATGGTACAAGCTTTTGCTTATGAATTCACTTAAAAGCAAAAGAAGTAAAGATATTTTACTCACATTTTATGAGCATTATTATAATGCTATCCCATGCCCATTCTCAAAAACTAAATGTCATCTTGGCTTTATTTTATTGACATGCACAAAATTACTAATAACCATCAGAAAGTTGCTTCAGAAAGTATTGTGATTAAAAAGGCTTATATTGGCTGAATTTTCAGTTATTCAACTTGACAAGATCCACCTTTATTCTATTATTTTTAACAGACTGTTTTCTGATCTATTTGTTGATAGGTCAACCTCTACTATTCAAGTGGTTAAATTTTAAGATCTTCCTTTTCCTTTATTAGATAAATTATACTAATGTGGTGCCAAAGTCTTTTAAATATTTAAGGCAATTCACTGAACATTGCCACATTAGCATACAATCTAACCTGAGTTTACTCAGACATAAATTCAACTGATTTTTGAGAAGCTTACTCTTAGCTATTTACAGTTTTAAGGACTTTTTCCAGAAGTACATACTTTCATTCCAATGAGCAATGGAAACTAGACATCTTATCTGATTGGCTATTATAAGCACATTTTATATCCCATGTTTGATCAGTCCATTATTTTTCTCATGGTTGTTCAGTAGCCCTCTTTTCCACAGAATTCAGTATAACACTATTGAGAACAGTAAATGTAGGCTGTAGGTAAAACATATCTTGCAGAATATCCTCTTTTTTGCCATTTGGGATGGTACTTTTATTCAAGAAATTGGCAGTGATTTTAAAGGAGAATTTAAAGCATCTGCTGCAGAAAGAAACAGATGGCATTCCTCACTGGAACATTTTTATAATGATGAAATAAACAATTATGTAATGAAAAAATATAACAAATGTAACAAATATTAAATTCCCAGTTGGGCAGCAAGTATATTAAAAGCATGGTGCATGAAAATATTGTATTAGCATTGGCCAAAAATTCCAAGTAAATCCGAAGCATTTCAAAGGATAAAACTACATAACCAATAATGCAATGCTATAGGTGTGTGTACATTAATACATAATCTCATATATAATATTATAATGGAGGAGATATGAAGCACAGAAAGGTACTTGGAAAATGCACAAGAAAGGGTAGTAAGGAGCCCAATAACCAATTATAGCCCCAGTTTCCAGGGTCTCTACAGCACTGAAGTATTGGCAATAATCAGGAAGTATTTCCCCTTAACCTGGGGAAATACAATGATAGGTGTCACAGAAAGCTTGGGAGTCATAACTGGAACCTAGAATTCAATGAATATTACTTTCTTCAAAAGAAATATACCAAACAAAAAGGGAAGTAGTTTCACTTTAACAAAAACAAAAACAAAAACAATACTTGCCCATGAAGAAATTCCTGACCTTGAATATGAAAGTCCAGTCGAAAGCATTTGGGTGCAATTAAAGAATTAACGAAACTGGTATCACTGTTGGAGTTCACTACAGGCCATCATACAAGGCCATAGATGTGGAATATACTTTTCTAAATCAGCTCACCAAGTTTTCAAGGAGGTAAATTACAATATTAATAGGAGACTTCAACTACCTGCTTCACACCCCCTCTCATTCTTCTGCTGTGGAGCTTGCACTGCAGGGGAAAGGTAGGAGTCCTTTCTTCTGTTAATGCTGTAGGAAACGGGTGGTGGAATGTTTCCCCAGAAGCTTCTCCCCAGTGCTTGGTGAAGTGTGTCCAGGCCGAATAACTTTGGCATGCTACATTGTCAAACCCCATGAGGCTGGCAAACTCAGGAAACAAGAACTACTTGGATTTCTGGAAATATCATTATTGCTAATAGGGCAAGGTAACAGAATATTCAACCTTTTTGAAGCAATTCCCCTGCTTAAATTATACCTAGCAAAATTAAGACAGAGGTCCTAACATAATTAAAGCAGAGTCGCTCATGCTTCCCCCTTCCTGCAGGCTAGATGTTTTTTGCAGTACAGGTAGTCGTCACTTAAAGTCAGTAATTGGACTGGAATTTCTGTTGCTAAGCGACACAATTATAAAATGTGATATCACATGACTGTGCCGCTCAGCAACGGAAATTCCGACACATCTGGTTGCTATCATTAAATGAATCATTGTTAAACAAATATGTCACATGTTCACCATTTGTGACCTCCTACCAGCTTTCCCATTGACTTTGCTGACAAAGAAGATCACAAATGGCAATGTAATTGTGAGCTGGGCACCGAGCACTTGAATCATGATCACATGACCATGGGGATGCTCTGACTATCATAAGTATGAGGACTGGTCATAAGTACCACTCATTCAGTGCCATCATAAGTTTGAACAATCACTGAGCAAGTAGTCATTAAGCGAGAACCACTTGTCATCCTTTTTCTTCTCTATTTTCTGAGGTTCTGTTAGACATTCCATCACGTAGAGAGACTTCAGAAGTACTCAATGAAATGGACCAACCTGGATGTACTTTCATCAGCAATGGGGGAAAAAGTAAGTAAGTAAGTAAGTAAATAAGTAAATAAATAAATAAATAAATAAATAAATAAATAAATGAATGAATGAATGAATGAATGAATGACTTCTCCCGTAGCATTAATCTAAAGTGTTTCAAGGTGAATTGTGGCTATTTGTCAACACAAGCATGTTTCCTCTTTCCTGAGATTAAGGGAATCATATCACTTCATGATTCCTCACTAAACCTAACTTGCTTATTACAGTAAAATTTTAATGTGACAAGAAAGAATCATTAAAGTATGACATCAATCATATTGCCAGTAGTTCATTTTATGTTAATAAATTTAAATGAAATTATATTTAGTTTTATTCTGGACTTGCCTACTTCTTGGAATTTGACCATTCTAAGACCAAGTGTGGCCTCTGACCTAAAAACAAAAAGTTTGGAGTTGGGCTGCTTTCTCCTGAAAGCGGAGAATATTTTAAACATTAATAGGATATGATAAAATGCAGCATGTAGGAAAGATCTGTAAAAAAAAAGTTGATGTTTCTGACACTGAATAGCTCCCAGCTGTGCAATCCTAACTGCTGTGTATAAACAAAAAACCCTTTAAATATCATGACAGCTAAAGAATATAATTATCTGTCATTTAGTATACAGATTTCTGTAACTATGTATATCTATTATCAGCAACCTATAGTTACAGTGATACTACAGATTTAATATATGCAATTCCTTTAATGGTAGCCATTTGAATATAAGTATTTCCAGCTTGAGATTCTCCAGCTGAAATCAATCTCCAATTGTCACCAACAGATCAGCAAGATTAAGTATCATTATAGAGACCAGGTAATAGTTTTACACACTGAGAATCATGTTATTAATATAAGAGAGATAGAGATGCATTCTAAATTGAACGGAATTGAAATTCAATTCAGTTGAATTTCATATTTCATGACATGAAAATAACATTGTTAAATGGTTAAGGAATTTAGATTACCCTTTTTTGCTTACAATTAATATTTATATTTACATATATGTTAAATTATACCTCATAAATTATAGATCAGATGTTGCTGAATCATTCATATAGATAAATAACCATATTTGCATCCTGCAGACAGGAATATATAAGCCACTGGAAAAAAATTATGGTCTTTTCCTAAAAATGATTATATAAAATGTTCTTCCAAGCTACTATGTGTAGAATAGTCATGAAGTTTTAATGCATAATTTGCTCATATACAGTCAGCGACAATGACATATTAAAAGCTCTTCAAGAATAAATGAGTTGTGAATTATAATCTAAGATTGCACTGTAAATATTGCCAAGGTTTACACAATGCTAAAATATGGTTTATTAATTTTGGTTTAGTATGGTTTGTGAAATGAGGCACTGTAGTTTGCAAACAAAGTGTATGGCATAGCATAATGTGTGAGCTTAGTTTATTATGAGTTATTCAACAAACTATGGTTAGCTAAATTGTGACTGAATCCATTGTGTAAAACCAGTCATTATCTCATGAATGTATATTTATGTCACTACAAGGCTTGGAGCCAAGGCTATTCTTTCTAAACTTACTGGAATTTAGTGGGACAAAGAATATAACAATAAATATAAATCAAACTTACAAGCTTTGGCTTCTATATTTCACTCTTTTATTAAATGTAAGGACCACAGTTTCACTCGTACTATTCAGAAAGATTTTTAAATGTGTAATTAGGAACTGAGGAAAAGATGAGAAATGTACCTGAATTCAGATGAATCTGGCTGCCTGATATTATGTTTTATGAGGATATGATAATGAAGAATCTATGTTAAAGTTTTAATATTGTTGTTATTGTTATGTATGATAATTTTATATGTATTGTACATTATGCTATAAGCTATATAAAATTGTATAATTAAAGTGGCATAGAAGGATTTGTAATATTTTTCTGTATGCATGCAAAAATACTGAAAAATGAATTTATGAGTAACTGTTCTATAATTTTTTTAATCATTTTCTTTCACTAGGGAGACAGAATCCTTGATATAACTACTACTGTAGTAATTACTGTTGCTAAAATATCCCAACTACAATTAAGTCAATGTTTATACTGTTCTGTAGTTAACAATACTTCCTTTAGATTAATTATAAATGTCATTCTGATTATTAAAATTATCAAAATAATCTTAGTAAATAAGAGCTTTTGTAACAGTTTCCTTACTCTTATCTTTTATAAATACAGCAGGATCAAGAGAGAAACAATGAAAGATACTGATTTGAGAATAAAAATTGATTTACTTTTCAAAAGCTTTTCTTTCCTTTGAACTTGAGATATTATGATGTGGCTTTGAACTACATATAGTTTATCTTAGCAATACTATTCTGCTAATCACTCAAGCACCAATCTACAGTTCAAAGTGAATGTGTTTTAAAATTCTATGTATGATAAAATACACAATTATTGGCTTATCAACCTCCTGGATACAGAATATTTACAAGGCTTTATCTGCTGAATGCTTACAAGTTTGTTTGTTTGTTTTTCCTGAGACAAATGAAAAGGAAGCATGAAACCCAGAACTCTGGTTATGTTATCCCAGCCAGCTGGGTTTTCAGTGAGATTTGTGCCACGGGTGTGATTGATTTCTTTCACCACCATGTCTATTAGAACTGTGCATCTTTATATAAGTTCCAGATACACAGTTCACATGCATAGAATATTTAGGCTGTGTTAATACAGTATGTTTCATTAGATCATGGATGAAGTCTGGTCATGCAAACATCTAAACCCAATAAGCTACAGGATGTGGAGGAGGAAGTTTTAACCCCAAACAGTCTTCTTTCTTCTTTCTTTCTTCTTTCTTTCTTGTATTTGGTTAAAGTGCCCTCTCTAGTCAGCATTGCCTTCTAAGCACTAAAACCCAAAAACAAGAAAGAGATGGAGGTTTAAATAGGTGCTAAAGCCAAGCTTTCTGTTATAGAAATCACAGAGAATCCTGGCAGCCACTGAACACGGTCCCTAATTCTGCTGGGTAGTAGGAGCCAATCAAGATGCACACATGCAGTCAGGTTCCCTCGCAGACACTCTTTCAAGCACTTACAAACAGCAAATAAAGGGGAAAAGAGCATTGGAGCCCATCATATCTAAGTTCTGAAATCATTCAGAACTTATATTCTTAAATATAAACAAACAAATAAGCAAACAAATGTTTGAACAACAGTATTTGATAGTGTAAATGATGTAGAAGGGATCTGTTTTCCAATACCTGCTAGCCTTGGCTATGTCTCTTAAGTACCAGGAATGGGGAAGCTTAGAGGTCTGAAACCATTCTCCTAGATGTCCTCTGAACCTTCACACCTTCATCTCACCTCCTGCCTGGATTAGCTACCGCTACTTTCTTCTCTCACCCCCTATCTTCCAGGGGGTGTCTTACCTGCTGTCCTCCCCTACCTGGGGTGTGTGTGAGAGAGGGCTGTCACAATCTGTGCCACCTTTCTGGTGATTAAAAGGTTAAAAAAGATAAGAGGTAAAATAACTCTAATAATACCACTTCCTGGCATTATAGGGTAGAAGGTCCAGTCCTTCCTTTGGAGCTAGACCAATCTCACAAGACATCTACTTTATTGAAAAAAAAATCAAATATAAAATTGGATTTTAATTTTGAGAATTAACATGCAACCATTGCCTGTTGAAGGACACAAATACAGAGTTGCTTCACTCTAACAATTGTTTCTAGATGTGTTAGAAAGGAAAAAAATCTGAAACAAGAGTCAGACCACAGGATGATACTATATGATAGTCTTTTGGGCTTAAAGAAGACACACTGTTGTGCAATTCACCCGCAGAGGTGGGTCTGCAGTCCCAGTCTGGAAGCGCAGAGTCTAGCAGAATGGGGGCACTGGAAGTCCATTGCTGTAGTAACTGTGAGTATTATTCTGTGGTGCCACTAACAGTTTTCTATCAGTTTTTGGCAGTGCCTGTCTTCAAAGCCAGTGGAGGCTTCATAGCACAGGGCTCACCAGTAGGTTCTGTCAGCAGCTGCAGCTTCCAGTTCCCTTGGCTGGATGTCACATGGGGTTGGATGTGGCATAGGGTTTCTTTCACTGAATCTTTGTAATGCTTGTGTGGTTGACCTCGAGGTCTCTTCCCAGACTCCAGTACACTATAGAGCAACTGGTGGGACATACAGTAGTCATCCATTCTGATGATGTGTCCCACCCACCACATCTGGGCTCTGATAATCAGGGACTCAATGCTGGTGGACTCTGCATGATCCAAGAACTCCAGGGTGGAGACACAGTCTTGCCAAGGATGGAGCGGAGAGAACGCATGTGAAATTTCTTTAGTTGTTTTTAAATGCCTTCAGTATAGAGTCCAGGACTCACATCCATATAGGAAAGAAGGGATAACCACAGCTCTGTAGACTTTCAGCTTTGTGAAGATACAGATGTTGCATTGATTGAACACTGTAGTACGGAGCCGCTCCAATGTCTGGCTGGCCTTGCTGATCCTGGAGTCAATTTCTTTGTCCAAAGACCCATCGCTCTAGATGATGCTTCCCAAGTATTTGAAACTGTTTATATTTGCAGGTGGGTGTTGTCAACAGTGATTTTTGGTTCTACAGGGTTGGTATTTGGCATGAGCTGGTAAAGTATTTCAGTCTTGTTCAGGCTGATAGTCAGGCCAAAGAACATAGCAGCATCTGAGAATTTGTTCAGCATGAACTGTAGATCACTGTCTTTGTGCACCAGGAGCACACTGCAATCAGCAAAGAATGTTTCTTGGATGATTGTATGGAAGCACTTTGTCTGTGTGTTCAAGCAGTGAAGATCAAGGAGATCCAATCGGTTCCTGATGTACACTCCCTCCTTCAGACTCTGGACAGCACGTGACAACATGCAGGAAGAACAGATTGAACAGGACTGGGGCTAGCACACACTGAACAGGACTGGGACTAGTACCATCCTGGAGTGTATGGGGTGTCCAGGGAGGGGTAGCACATCTGGTGGAGAAGCCTGCCACTCCCTTTCTAGGGCTGCTTCTTCACCTGTGGTCCCCACCTGGTGCTCAGCTGTCACCTGTGGCTCCAAGTAGCTGTAACATGTGCAGCAGCCACACCCTGGTAAACCATCTCAGCAGTCAGGCCAAACCAGGTGAAAGTAGCCAACAGGTCTTTGACTCTCTGTGAGATAGGGGATTTGTCTTCCCCAGCATGTGAAGTCTGGCCCTGGCAGACTGAGTGGAGGAGACTGATCAACAATCCTTCAGATTCAATTAGCCCAATAATTCTATAAAAAGAAAGAGAAGGAATGGTAAGTTGCAATTTAATATGATTGACCAGAAATATTGAAAGAAATAGAATATCCTTATGCACAGTCTGATATGCACATAAAAGCCTAAAGTACATACCTTAACTGAACTTGAACAGAGAAATAAATAATATTAGTTCCACAACAGAGAAAAATAAAATATCTAATGCAAGCTTCTGGCTAAATTGCTACCTACATTTACACAGTTAAAACTATCTTTAATCAGGTTTCTGCTTTTCATTTTATCTGAGCTGCTTCAGAGGTTGCTGGATATTTCAGCCATGCTGGGGGAGACCTGTGTTTTTCGGCCTCAATCCAGCAACTTCTGCTTTGTTTTAAGATGCCTCTCCAGCAGAGAGAGAGGAGCTGAGAGAATCTCTCTTTGATTATATGACAAACAGAATGTGCATCTCTCCCTTGGGGTTGGACATCTGCAGTATCTTCAGTCTGCTGGGAAGGAATAGGTATTCTGTGCCTGAGTTTGCAGCTTGTAACAGCTACACACATAACACTTCTCTGTTACCTTTATTGATAGTGCTTATGATATGCATATGACAATTAACAAACATATGGAGTCATTATGAGTTCTGATTATTTCTGTTCATAGCTGCCAAATGAGATGATGCTGATAAGACTCCCTGGATTTCTTTGAAATTTGTAGAAATCCTATCTGCATAAAAGTAACCTTTGTAACAACAAACTGTAACAGTGTCAGCTCAAAGCCCATGTACTTCAATGAAAACTATCTCCCACTTTTTAATTAAATTGCTGATATTGTTCTTCTCACTGGAAGAAATCTAGTGGTAAAACATTTTGTATTAAAGAAATTCTGTTTGCTTTCTCTGGTATGGTGCTATTTGATTCCTAATAGCATCAAGAAATGTCTGGCTGAAGCAGCATATTGGCATTTGTTCCTTTTCTGTATTCAAAATGCTTTTGCATTTAAATTGCTTTTCTTTTAAAGGACCTTTGCAATGGCATACTTGTTGTTGTTGTC